TATATATATATATATATATATATATATATATATATATATATATATATATATATATATATATATATAGGATGATAATGCATGAAAAAAAAAATTATTTTAGATGAAAAAAAAAATCAATAAACTAAAATACTTAAGATTACTGTTATTTATGCATTGATTCCGTAGAAGTTATGGATATGAATATATTCGATTAATTTGTTCAACAACAAGTAGATGTTATTTGTTAAATATCTAGCCAAAGCAAGATAATATTATTAAATTTTAAAATATTATATTTTTTTAATAGATATTTAATTTTCAATAATTTAATTAAATATATAATGTTTGTATTTTAGCAAAAAAAAAATGTTTTATTTATCATATTATTTATCGTTTTAGCAATTCAATACATAATTAAATCTTTTTCACTAACAACTTTAATTTGTAGAGAGAATAATAAAAATGAAATTAGAGCGAGGAGCATAAAAATCAATTAATACTTGAATAATCTCATTAGAATTTTTTTGAAATAAATATTATTTATCAATTTGTGAGTGCTAAAAAATATTACAGATCATTTGAAAATTGAAACAAAGATCTAGGTACTGAGACAAAGAAGCAGTATACAGTAGAAGATCTTTAATTTAGCATTTCGGCTTATATATATTACAACATAGAATCACAAATTGAACTTATAAAACGTTTTAACCATTTCTTGCATAATAATACATAATAATAATAATAATAATAATAATAATAATAATAATAATAATAATAATAATAATAATAACATATAAACTTTTTTACCAACCGAATAAAGCACGAATAATACGGAGAATATTGCCACTCAACATTGCCTTAACAAAATTCAGCTTCCCGTTAGTGTACGGTGGATATCTAACAGACACATCTCCATTAAATCCGCGTTTTAGAACCGCCTTTTTATGGCTGAAAGCATCAAACGAGAATTTACCGTGGTACGATCCCATCCCACTTTCTCCTACCCCTCCAAACGGTAGGCTCGCCTCCGCAAGCTGCAAAAAACGAGCATGCACGTGTGTAAATAAATCGAGTCGATTAAAACAAAAAAAAAAAAACGATTTTATGCATGCATTGGTAGAGTCAATGGTTGGGGGGCCACGGCCCCCATTAATACGAGACTTACATGCAGAGTGGTGTCATTAATCACCATGCCGCCCGATGACACGTTGCTTATGAAATCATTCTTCAGCTTTTCGTTGTTTGAAAATAGATACGCAGCAAGAGGTTTTTCTTTAGAGGTAATAATTCCAATGCAGTCCTCGATTTTGTCGACCTTAATTTTTCAAAGAAAAAAAGAATCAAATACAAAGATCTATTAAGAAGCATTATAAATTAATTTATTTATTTTTTAATTATTTATTTACCGTGATAATGGGAAGCAAAGGACCGAAAATCTCCTCGTTCATGATCAGAGAATCTTCTGAGGGATTCAATATAATACTAGGAGCAATCTTGCTATAAAAATCGAGAACAAATATAATATTGAAAATAATATTAATATAAAATAAAATGAAGTTCAAAACCGAGTTCTTGAATCTCACAGTTTGGTTTTATCCCGTTGACCTCCAAGAACTATTTTACCCGAAACCTTTTCATCGTCCAATAAATTTATTAAACGGTCAAAATGCCGAGAATTCACAACGCTCGACAAGTCATTTGATTGGAGAGGATCTTTTCCATAAAAATTCTCCATTTCACAAGCAAATGCATCAACCTAACAAGTCATATATATAGACCATAAAATTTGATTAACACGAAAAAGAAAAATTTTAAAAAATTAAATTGTTTGTAATATGCTTATAAAATAGTCATATTCAATCACCGGAATTAATTCTTACCAGTTTCGAAGCGTACTCTTTTGTAGTAATTACGTAATCGGGCGAAACACATGTTTGTCCGTTATTGCATCCCCACTTGCCCGAAATAATTCTTCTTGCCGCAACCTTTAGAAAAAAACAGAACACGAAATAAATGAAGTATAAAATACGGGGGTTGTTCCGCAATTTCTGATAAATTAAAGGACTTACTTTTAAATCGATGTTTGAATCGACCACCACCGGACTCTTCCCACCGAGCTCCAAAACTACAGGTGTTAGATGCTTTGCAGCAGCAGCTAACACAATTCGACCCACCTTGCTATTTCCTGTCGAGTTCGTTATTTTATACGAATCAAGATCAGAAACTCCGTTTCTATTGGTTTAAAATTAATGCCAATAATATAAATCGAATTAAAAAAACTTATAAATAACGCTTTCGTCTTCGAAAAGAACATAAATTTTCCAAGTTAAACGAATAAACAATCAATATTTTTTTTTATTATTTCCCGTGTTTTGCTCTGTTTCCTCTGTTTCTTCACTAATAACAAGCTTTAGATAATTGTCATCGAAATAATTTTTCCGATAATCAAACGGATATAAAGAGCAAACGAACAAAAATTAAATAAGAGTTAATTGCATTTTTTTGTTATTATTTATTACCTGTATAAAATATTTTATCCCATTTTTGTTCGAGCAATACAGTTGTTTCGGGCACAGAGCCTTCGACAACTCTGACCGCTGACGTGTCCATGTACTCTCCAAGAAGTTTGGAGAGCACTGCTGACGTGGCAGGTGAAACCTCGGACGGTTTCAACACTACTGCATTACCAGCTGAAATAGCTCCGATGATTGGTTCGATCGATAAAACTTTTTATTTCAAAAATCAAAAAGAAAAAACAATCAGTTTAACATTTCGTAAAGTAAAAATAATAGCACGATAATTAAAAAATAAAAAATTCAAAATTAAAAATTAAAATCGACATACTAAAAGGATAGTTCCAAGTTGAAATAACCAATACGACGCCCAAAGGCTCCGATACTATATGAGCTGATGAAGGATACGTTGTCATAGTCGTTTTCACCTGCAAATATCATATTTTCTTTAAGCATCGTATTACGATTTTAATTCAACGGTCGATACGATAAATCATAAACACTTCAATTGATTTGAATTAATTTTCGAGTATTACTTTTTCAGGCATCGTCCATCGGCGTAACTCCTTCAATGCTAACTTGCATGCTGACGAAGCGCCGGCGATCTGAGAAAAAAATGTCAAATACCGAAAACGACCCGTACCATATTTCACGAAAGATACCGAAAATTGTCACATTTCATTATTAGAAAAAAAAATAAAAAATTCCCCCTTAACCCCCACACTAATTAATTCCCAATTTTTCCAATATTCCTTGAAAATAAATAAATAAATAAAAATAATTCATGCAGTGTTCATTAATATAGCAAAGGAGCATTAAATACAGTAGAGAAAAACAAAAAATATACTAACACATTCAAAAAACTAATCAAAAAACAACATGCAGTCCCAATTTTTAGGAAATGTCGGAATTTAAATAATAATAATAATAATTAATAAATAAATAAGGATTTAAAATTGAGACCTCATGAACAAAAGCTTCATATTCAGGTTTATTAAGATCAGAGCGAAGAGCTTCAACAATTTCATTTTCATGGAGATTAATTATTTTGAGAAGTGCTTTCAACTGTGAAACCCTCCACTCCAAATCTCTGGTTTTGCCGCCGCCGTACGCCGCCCTCAATTCCTCCGCCACCGTCTCCACACCCGCTGCCATTGTTTTTCTCAATCAATCTTCAAATTCTAATTAATTATCGCTTTTCGTCTCTGTGTGTGTGTGTATATATATATATATAATTATTGCTGTACGTATAGGCTAGTGGGTAATTGTTTATTAATTTCATTTTCGTCTGATATAATTATTCTTAATCTTTTTTTTTTGTTTATATGTATTCATCTTTATTGTGATTATGGATTCCTTCTGCCACGTAGATCGATTAGTTTATTGATTAGATTAATTGGATTGTAGTAGAATATAAATATAAATATTCGGTTCATTTGTCATTAATTATATTTTATTTATTATTAGGATAAATTCCACTTTCCTCCTTGTACTTTGACTCGATATCACTTTACTCTCTTCTACTCTCGATTGCATTAATTTGCCCCCATGTACTTGAAAAATTGTGTCAATGTGGCCCTAGCCGTTAGTTTTTAGACATTTTACCTTAACACCGTTTGATCTAAGTCTGAAAATCTTCCAATTTAAATAATTATTAAAAAAATTAAAAAAAATTGTGACTGGCGTCGTGAACTATGTTCTCTCGTTGTCTTGAATTCTTTTTTTTTTTTACTTCTTTTAATAATTATTTAAACTGAAAGATGTGATGTTTTTGTAATTTCATAGCTTCGATCAAACAGTGTTAATGTTAAATGTCTGACAACTAATAACGAGAGCCACGTTGAGACATATTTTCAAAAGTGGAGGAAATCGATGCAATCAAGAGTAGAATAGAGTAAAGTAATAACGAACCAAAGTACAAGTCGGAAAGTGAAATTTACCCTTATTATTAAAAATTGATATTAAATGTATTTTTTTGCAATAATATTCTAAAATTACAAATAGTTTGAAAAAAATATTAATAATAATGCTAATTAAGGGGATTAATTAATTTACATTGGAAGATGCTAAATTTGGATTCCTTCATAGATCTACAGAGTACTCCATAGACTATAGGTTGGGTATATATATCTAACCTAAAGTCGTGGTATTAAATGAGTGAAGATACAATATTAAATTCAATTAAATCCCTATATTTTTTCAAAAAAATATAACCATCTAAAAATAAAATAAAAAATCTTAATTTTCACACACTCATACACGAGTACAAACGTTAATAGCACACGCACGTGTAAGTCGCATGTATCGCGATTTATGACGTAAGAGAGAGAGAGAGAGAAACATATCACGCTTTACGTGTGTTCGTAATTTTGCATGAAATCGTGTCCAGGTTTTAAGAAGCGCGTGGGATGCATGGTGACGTTTTTTGGGGTTGGCTGAGGATGTCTTTTTGTTATGATTGTGACGAAATTGAAGCAATTTTTATTTATTTATTTATTTATTTATTTATTGTGAACTTTTGTTGGTTAGGTAATATTTGTTAAGACAAATATCAAATATGTATGCTTTGGTGTAACAACTTTAGTATTGTTTCAGCGGCACGACAAAAACGCTACTTAGTTTTTGACAATGTGTTTTTTGAGTGACGTGGTTTCGTGTCAAAATAATATATGAGGTAAGGTCAAATTACGAAAAGAACCCTCATATTTGGATAGTTACAATCATCTCCCTCAACTATGAATTTTCTTACACGTCCACCCTTAGTGTCAAATTCGACGTAATATTCTTGATTATGTGAAATGTTTTATAGTTTGTACTCGTTTTGTGCAAAAAAGTAGTTTCAAATGCACAACAATCTGATATTTACAAGCTAATATACATATCTTATGATCATCTTATTTCTAAATGTGGAGTTGAAATGGGATAAAACGAGTACAAATTGGAGAATATTCCACATAATCTTGAATATTCTACTAAATATGATACTGTAAAGATAAACATGTAGTTGATAGATGATTGTAATTATCTCAAATGAGGGATTTTTTCACAATTTAACCTTACTTTAGGGGTGGCGCTGTAATTTACCCATAGTCTATATAGTTGGTGAGAAAAATAAATTAATTAAACCTCCTATTTTATTTTATTTATATTTTTACGATGTATATATAGGTTTGAAGCCATTAAATATAATAAATTTAGTATTTCCTATAACTAGAAAAAAAAATAGTTAATTTACAGTAGAACCTCGATAAATTAATAGTCTCGTTTAAATAATATATTTTCATGGTCTCAATTTGAGGACGTGTTAAAGAAATATACCGTTAAATTAATATTTCACTAAATTAATAGAATTTAACGGCTTTCGTATATATCAATTTAATTATTTGAGTTTCTTGTTTGTGTAAAATCTAAATTAGGCCCATTATACCAGATTGAGATCAAATTCTAAATTAGGCCCATTATTAACCTTAGCGATTCGGCCCGTTTAAGACCATCTATCTTTATTCGTGGCAAAATAAAAAAAATAAAATAAAAATAGAAACTTAATATATTAATAAATGTTTCTTATAGAAACTTGATAGAATTGGAGGAAAATGTAACAGGAGAGGCTCCGCTGAGTTACGACCCTCCACGCGCACCCCACAAATCCGAAACTAAAGGAAACAAATTGCCAATGACTGATCGTCTGTCAACCACTGCAGCAGCCATGGTTTCCATTTCCGCCGCCGCCACCAACTCAGCCGCCACACGCCTCATCCCTTCCGTCGCCGTCTCCGCCTTCACCACCAGACTCTCCTCCCGCACCACACTCTCCCTCACCTCCCTCCGCTCGTCCCCTCTCATCTCCCGCCTCTTCCTTCCCCAGGTAGACCGACTTATATATACATACATACATACATCCATTTTCAGGATTCGCTCGTGTAATTAGCTTATTGTGTATTGCTGTATAAATCATAAAACAGGAAACCTCCGTGCGGCGATTTTCGAGTGGGAGAATTGGTTATTCGACGGCGTCGTCGCCTAAATGTGCGGCATCGGACCCCGAGCAGCTGAAGGGTGCGCGCGAGGATATAAAAGAGCTTCTTAAGTCTACGTTCTGTCACCCTATTCTGGTTAATTTCTTTGCTATTTCCTTATTTTATAAATGTAATTGGGAAATATGTTCTGATTTTTGAAGAATTACATTGGTTAATTGTTGGATATGCTTGTGGTTTTGGATGTGTGTTTGTATCTATTAACTGCTGGAGATTTTTCGATTCTGTTTATCGATGTTCGTTTAGGAGAGCCTACATAGTGATTGAATGGCTTTTTCGCTGCTTCGGAAACTCGAGCTTCATCTCGTTTTAGGCTATAAAATATATTTTTGTAATTGTTGTTCAAAATCGAGGTAATTCGGAAGGTAGAATTTGAGTCCTCCGTGTGGATCGATGATGAGATATGTTTAAGAGAAGCTTGTATTAATTGGTGGTAGTTGTTCGTATTATGTTATTGTTTATTACCACTAGTATCATTGTGGTTGTTGATTTTGTTGCCATAATTTATAATTATAATATAGGTCCGTCTGGGTTGGCACGATGCTGGTACGTATAACAAGAACATTGAGGAGTGGCCACAAAGGGGTGGGGCCAATGGAAGTTTAAGATTTGAAATAGAACTGAAACATGGAGCAAATGCTGGTAAGCTTTTCATTTTATAATACGATTGCTTATCAGTTAATGATTATGTTATTGTCACTTGACACGCCGGGCCTGCACAGGGCTTGTGAATGCTCTTAAACTTCTTCAGCCCATCAAGGAGAAGTACTCTAGTGTCACCTATGCAGACTTGTTTCAATTGGCTAGTGCTACTGCTATAGAGGTTGTTCGTCTCTTCTGGATTCTATGTGAATGAGAACACTTTATTTTAATCGGTGATTGCGCTAATACCATTGTTCTAATTACAGGAAGCCGGGGGTCCCAAAATTCCTATGAAGTATGGAAGAGTAGATGTATCTGAACCTGAACAATGTCCAGAAGAAGGAAGGCTCCCAGGTAAAAATAACTCTAACACTTGACAACGTGTTTGTTGTGCATGGCACGACACTTACCTAATATTAAAACATTACCGATCACGTTTAAATGCTTATATCAATTTGCCGTTTGTTGCACTTGAATGGACTGGAAGAGCATGGTGGGGTATTACTTATTGGGGTCCAATCTTGTGAGGACTCTTCAAGATTGTGATTGTAATGGCAGAAACTCTTTAATGCGTTTTGTCTAAGAAATTTAAGTGATTCTGTGTTGATGAGGTTCCGAACTATAGTTTTGGAGCTATTATCTGTCGTAGAATGTATTGACATTGTTATGTGGATGTTTCAAGTAAAAAGGAAAAAATATTAACGAACAAGTTATTTCAACATGTGATGCAGCTCCAAATATAAGATGACATGTCATTCTTTGTGGAGTATTGTTATTTTTCCTATAAAATTGGAACCCGAAAATTATCGAAAGTATCAGTTAATCAAGTTTCATTTTAAAAAGATGCGCAACTTAACTCTCTATTCTGTTTCTCTATTGCCCTTTTTTTTAAAAACAATAATGTTTTGATGATAAGTTTGTTTTACTGTTATACAGCTTTGTATAAAATATGCAAATTATTTTTGCATGCCATATTGGAAGTTGGAACCTAATAATTGACTTTTATGTACTGGCATTCACCTTTAAACCTTAGCTAATATTATTTTCACTTATTAGATGCTGGCCCTCCTTCTCCCGCTTCTCATTTACGTGATGTCTTCAATCGGATGGGACTGGATGATAAGGTGATCGGTCGTTCTAATATAACCCGATATCTATTGTCAATAATAGTGTTGCAACTTACAATTGCTGAGCTTCTTGATGTTCAGGAAATAGTTGCTCTTTCCGGTGCACATACTCTCGGAAGGTCAAGGCCGGATCGTAGTGGATGGGGCAAACCTGAAACCAAATACACGGTACCAAGACAGGCCATTGTTTTATCATTTATTTGCCGATCATCACATTCTACTTTCTATATACGTGCTGTTTTAACCAGTTAAGAGATCGATAGGATAGACTTGTCATGCCTTAGGAAGTACCACAAGTATGCACCAAAATAAAGAAGTAGTTTCTCCTTTTCAATTTTCTTTTTTGGTTGGGAGGGGGGCGGGGGTGAGGTACTGCAAAAGAAACTTGTGGGATTACATATGCAGCAGTTCGGACCATAGGAAAATAACATTGTGGTCATGCTAACGAGGCATCAAGAATTTAAATGATATCTTGTTACTGAAACTTAATCTTATGCTGCATGCAGAATTAGACAAGTTGATGTTTATGCTTATTATTATGGTTAAAGAAGTAGTCATAACACGCAGCAATAAGTTTCTGGCCAGGCGAAATGTCATGGAATGAATTTTTTTATTGTTTGCCAAGTTAACAGTTGCTAAAATAAAAAAAACAACAGTAACAATAGCTTATCTTTCTACATAAGTGTAAACGTACTAAGCTGGAGTTTCTTTGCATTGCAGAAAGATGGACCTGGGGCTCCTGGAGGCCAATCGTGGACAGTGCAGTGGCTGAAATTTGATAATTCCTACTTTAAGGTGATTTATGTTGGATATTCAAGTCTTTGTGGCTTTGATTTTAACTAAAGTTGCTCAATTCTGCTTCTATGCACGACTAATTTGTAGGATATTAAAGAAAAAAAAGATGAGGATCTGCTAGTTTTACCTACAGATGCTGTTCTGTTTGACGATCCAGCATTTAAGGTCAAATAACAAAAATATCACCTCTAAAAGCATTACTTTTATGTTATGGATTCTGAGCTTACATACAAGTATGCATGTGTAGGAATACGCAGAGAAATATGCTGTGGATGTAGATGCATTTTTCAAAGATTATGCTGAAGCTCATGCTAAGCTTAGCAGTATTGGAGCTAAATTTGATCCACCTGAGGTATTTATCCTTGTCCTTTTTATTTTTTACCACCCCGTATCGATCTACTTTGAGCTTTATAAAACTCATATTCAGCCTATCTGCTGAACTGAACTTGAATCCGATACTCCAGAACGTGGTCAAATTTGCCATCTAGTTTACTTGCAATTCATCTGGAGTCTGTTTATTATATATATATAGTCCTTCCCGATAGAATATACAAAAAATAAAAATAAAAAAATGCATCACCCTCCTACTGTTGTTTGCTCATAATATTTGGTTCCCATCTTTATTGACTTCATTGAAACTGCTTTATGTCGTGTTTATCTGACAAACTATTAATAATTTGTTTTTGCTGCTCTCAACCCATTCTTGTTTCATTTTTTTTGATTCTCACTTCGAGTTTATTATTATAATATAATTACAAAGTGACCAGATGAATAACTCAACTCGTAATTTATGTTGCAGGGTTTCTCGTTAGATGACATTCCCGCAAAAGGTCAGCCAGAGAAATTTGTGGCAGCCAAGTACTCAACGGGAAAGGTAATTGCTTCCCTTTCTTTCGTGACATGAAAAAAGATTTCATAAAACTAACAAAAACAGGGTATTTAAAATTCTTACTTGTTATGGCTGATGCAGGACTAAAACTGAATGCAAGTATCTTCTTTTTCGTGTGGTGTTAGTTAAAAAATAACCCAAGATATTCTAAAACATGGAAGTTTTTAATGAAACGGTAAGAATAAAATTCAATCGAGTGTTGATTTGAATTGCAGACAGAACTATCGGATTCTATGAAACAAAAGATTAGAGCAGAGTATGAAGGATTCGGTGGAAGTCCAGATAAGCCTCTCCAATCAAACTATTTCCTTAATATCATTATCGTTATTGCTGTTTTGGCTTTTGTGACATCTTTCGTTATGAACTAATACAGTTTTGGTATTAAAAAACCATTTATTTTTTCTTGTTAAAAAGAAGAAAGCTTAAGCCCTCATACATAATCATACACGAATGATACATGATACATGTACCTTTAAGCTATTTGCTTAGTGCTGATTCAACTTGGGATCGACTATGTGATAAATATTCTTTGGTACGAGTGTTGTCATTAGTTCCAATTTCAACCATTATGTTAGCATGTTAATGTGTCGTAAATGTTGGAAATAAATCACGTAGAAGGCCTTAAACATGTCTTTAAGCTGATTATTAGTGGAGATGAACTCGGTTTAGTTTGTTGTGAACAAAAAAAGCCCGATTTCGTAACATGAACTCCTTTCTACTCTAGTATAGAACTGCCCTTTTATCAATAGAAATGCTTATTATCGAAACAAATAGGCCGAATCTTCATTTTCAGGATTTGAGGATAAAAGGAGAAACAAAGACGCCGAAAGAACACTAAGGAGGTGTTTGGCTAAGCTTATAAGCTCATTATCCAAACACTTCAAAAAATTAGTTCAAAAAATAAGACGTAACAACTTATCAATTGTTTAACGCAAGCTCAGCCCCTAGATGATCGTATATTTTAATCTCCATCAAAATTAAATCTTGATACCTTATCTCTGAAGTGCTGGCCAAGAAATTCCAACAGTTTCTGATAGGATTAGGTGGTCAACAACTATTGCTTGGAATTGAAACACTTAGAATCTTTGCTTGAACATTAGGACAGACAAAATGTGACATGATTTAGCTTAGTTTTATTTATTTATTTATTTTCATGTTACAGACAGACAGTTCACATTCTTCATTTAGGTCTCTACATACACATGGTACTTCACAATAAAAAAATATAAATAATTATTAATTTAAAATCATTTAAGCTCACATTCATAACATAAGGTATCTAATACACCTGGATAGTAGCCCCCACTTAATTTCCAATTATTCATAAACACAATTTTAATAAAGTTTTAAAAAAGGACAACAACTTTGTGATGATAAGAAAGTAAAAATAAGCAAAAGTGAAAACAGCTGAAAGAAAAGTCAACAAAAGTCTGACTTGGGCCGAAAATAAGTGGGCCAACTGATTTGTAAAAGTTGGATTGAAATTTGACCTAGAAATCCTAAAACCCCCAAAAATCAAGAAATCATGTTCCCAACCAAAACCCTAATTTCCCTAAAAAAATATATATTCAACTTGATTTGTGTCTGATTTGTTTTAATGTGTGTAGTTGATTAGGATAATCTTGTCATCTATGCACGTCCAAAATTTCATTAATTCAAAGTTGACCTGATTAGGGGTGGTCTTTGACTTTTAGATTGAGGAAATTTCATGCTACTATTCAAATATTACTTTTTTTTTTGATAATATTTAAATATTACTTTGAATAATACTTTAAACAACCTACTTTTCTTAAGTTATTTTAAGAGCTGATAAGTTGTCGCACCTTATTATTATAATTAATTTTTAAATTGCTTGGATAATTATCTTATAAGCTGTTTTTACTCATTATAAAATTTTAAATAAAACGTCGAGTGTAAATTTACTTTTTAACAAGTTACCCAATACTTTAAAAAAGCCTATTATAAGCTATTAAACATTTTATAAGCACTTTTACACGACTTATAAGTTAGCCAAATGCCCCCTAGGTTTGAATTAATTGCCCTAGGATAAATTCACATATAATAAAAGTGAAAATCTTGGAAACAAAAACCAGCCATTATTGTGATTGGCATTTTTCGGCAGGGAATAGTTTATAATAATAATTAATTACAAAATAAATGTCTGGAAAAGAGAAAAGCAAAAAAAAGGACAGTAAAAAATAGAAAAAAAGTAATGATAATATATGCCAATAAGTAATAATGACACCTCCCCGCCACCGATGGCGGTTTTCACGAGTTCCTTCTGCCACCTCTCTGACACCACCCCACCACCATCACCACCACCATGTTATACATACATACACCTGTATGTATAATAATGCATGTATGTTAGACACGGCCCCGGGTCGGGCCGGGTCCGGGTCCGGGTCGGACCCGCCGGGTCCGGGTCCGAGTTTTGGAGGACCCGAAACCGACCCGCGGGGAGGCGGGTCCGGGTCCGGGGCGGGTCCACTCGGGTCCACCCGGGTCCGGGTCGGTTCCGGGTCGGGCCGGGTCCGAACCGGATTTTGAAATTATTTTCCAAAATATGCTTGGGATGGAGTTCGAACCCGGGTTGTAAAGCACTTGAAAACGAATCCGAGCCACTGTGACAAGATAAATATTTGATAAATTACTTGCAAGAAATATAAATATAACATATATACACAGTATAAAATGATTTAATAAATAATGTTAAATGGATTGTTAATTATCATATTCATAATTATTAAATAATTTTAATTACATTATTAACAAATATAATATCAAAATTAAAAGGACTTTAGATTAATCCATTTAAATCTTACGATTCGATTCGATTCTAATATTTGAATAAAATGTAAATGTAAAAAAAAAAGATTAAATCATATGATCTACGATTTAATTCTTACGATTTTTACAAACTAAACCAATTATTTAAAGAGAAACCACATTATAATATTTTGATTATACTAGTCATATATAATGTTATTTTTAAAGTAAGAATATTAATTGAAATGAGATATAATCTATTTTTGTTAAAACAAACATCATTTATATTTTTAAATAATTATCTTATAATAAAATCCTCAATAATATTAATAAGTTCTTGTCAATAATTGAGGTAAATCGATTTAAATTAATTGAAATGAGTTATAATCTATTTTTTTAAATAAACATATTATTTTATTTTTCAATCGATTTTTTCACACTATCGATTTTAATAACATAAGTGAATTGATTCAATACTTTATATTTTTCAATAGTGGAGATTATATTGATATATTAATTAATAATAGATGTTTTAAAGTATTGAACCGTGATTATATATATTTTTTCTTATATTACATTTGTTAATTATTTAATTAAAATTATTCAATAATAATTAATATGAAAATTATTAATTTATTTAACATATTTATCATTTATACCATATTTGTATATTATATATATTTATTGTCTATTATTTATCAATTATGTTGGTTGGCCCAGTGGTAAAGAGCTCGTCTTTCTTCCCAATTGCCCCGAGTTCGAAACTCGGAATGTGCATTTTTGGACATAAAAAACCGGATATTTCCGGGTTGACCCGCCGGGTCCTCGGGCCGGGCCCTCGGGTCCCCCCGCCGGGTAGACCCGTCGGGTCCCGGGTCCACATAATCGAGACCCGAAACCGACCCGGACTTGGCCGGGTCCGGGTCCGGGTCCATGGTCAATGGGGCGGGGCCGGGGCGGGCCGGGGCAGTCAACGGGCCGGGTCCGGGTCGGGTCCGGGTCAGACCCGGCCCGTGGCCATGTCTAATGTATGTATAATGCTTCATTCAAATCCCTACAACAAAACAAAACAAAACCAATTCAGAAAAAAATAATATACCAAATCCCAAAAAGAAGATAAGTAATTAAAGACCTTTCTCTTTCCTTCTTACATTTTTCTTTTCTATTTTCTCTCTCACACACACATCGATGCACAATTCTTTCTTCTTCCTTTCTTTATTTTGCTAAATTTCTCACACACACACACACCAAAACACACTCTCATGGAGGAACAATTTCCAACACACACATAAATATAAAAGGATGAGTTATTGCACCAAGAATATGTATATAACTAAAATATAATGTCCTATGTGTTCAATTTTTTCTACGTCTTAGTTCTCGTATAATTTATAAGTTATTATACGAGATTTTAGGTAATGTATTGCAGCTGTATATTGGCTGTATGTTTCTTTATTACTGAAAAAACAACAAGGGTGTTTACTTAGGAACAAATGGTGCAAGTAAAATCAGTAATCATAAAATTATTTATTCCATATGATGGAAACACATAGGTAAATCATAAATAAAAATTATGTATGATTGATTATACATGTGCATAATCTAGTGAAATTCACGTGATGCACCACAAAGACAAGCAATCTAATTAATTTGGCAAGTAATTATTGATTTTCGAAATATGCATATAATAAAATCATAAAGAAAATCATAAATTTTGACCAAGAAAAGGCAATTATCAAACGGACGGCCAAGATTGAACGAACCCCCCTCAATCTGTACGGTCAAGAAAGTTCGCCAAGATTTCCCAAACCCTTGCCCCAAATTCTCTTACCAAAACTCATTAATTTCATTCTTACCGCGTTTCCCCCTTTCCTTCCGCCACCCGAATCCAATGCTACATCTAATCACAGCAGCCGCGATTTGTACCTTCCGCTTTCCCACTTGTACATTTCCTTATAGCTCAACCCAGTTGTTTTCTTTTTCTTCCCACCGCCATTGTTTCCGCTGAATTTTCCCCCATTTGATTTTCCACGGAGATTTTTTCTTCCTTGTGAGCAGCAGTCCAAAAAGAAGGATTTGATTCACAATGCGATTGCTGTTAATTGCTGTTCGGAGATTGTTGCACGTGGTGAATTGCTCCTCTGCTGCTGCACTGTGACGATAATGGGGTGTAGTGGTTCGAAAGCGGAGGACCTGCCGTTGGTGGTACGCTGCCGCGAGAGGAGGGAATTCATACGCGCCGCCGCGAACCACCGCTACGCGCTCGCGGCTGCTCACGTATCCTACTTCCGATCACTCAAGGACGTTGGGGATGCGCTTCGGAAATTCGTGGACGAAGAGCTCGTTGCTGCTTCACAATCTCCTTCTCCCTCCTCCTCCTTCTCCTCGCCGTCGTTGATCCTGCCGCCGTCTTCGAGGAAGAAACGCGGCGGCGCCGACGAGTCTTCCCTGCATTTACACGACGACGACGACGAGGCCTCGCATATACACCTCTCGGATTCTTCCTCCTCCGACGTCGATTCCGACGATTACTTACATCTCCATCACAATCACAATGACAATCATCATCACGGACATAAATCAGGAGACGATACGCATCGACATCATACAAATCAAAAAAACTTCAACGACGAAGTAAGGCATTTGCACAACGAGGCGGAATCTTCCTCCCACTACCCTCGTAGTGGGCCCAACGGGTACGGAAACGAATTTGGGGATGGATTGGCTAACGACCCGTATAGAAACCCGTATTCGAACCCGTATTCGTATCCTTACCCGTACCAGCCCCCGCCTTATGTAAACCAGTGGGACCCACAGGGGTTGCCGCCACTGCAGCAGCAGCAGCAGCCGCCGGTGCAGCAGCCCTGGTATTACTCGGGTAATTCGAATATGTACTACATGAAGAAATCTGCTCCGGCGGCGAAAACTGTTGTTCAGGAGCCTCCATCAGAGACCACTTACGGTTACTCAGATTCATATTGGAATCCTTCGTATGGGGATGCTGGTTATGGTAGTAATTATGGGTATTTTCCGGTGGAGAATAATTCTACTGTGAAAACGAATTCAGTTAAAGAAGTACCGCCTCCACCTTCACCCAAGGCATCTGCGTGGGATTTTTTCGACCCGTTTAATGGTGGGTTCGAGAACGGGTACCCTAGTTACTACACGGGTGTGAAATACGGGTACGGGTCGAATCCCAGCAGCCCCGATTCGAGTGAGGTGAGGGAGATGGAGGGGATTCCTGATTTGGAGGAAGAAACGGAGAGTGAGGTGTATAAAGAAGTTCTCAAGACGAACAGAATGAAAGTTGATTCGAGGAAGACTCCAGTTAGAGCAATGCCGGTGAATAAAAAACAAAATAAAAAGAGCGAGGGTAATGCAAGAACCGTGCCGCCGCCCAATAATTCAAGAACCGTGACACCGCCCAAAAACGAGACTAGTTCAAGATCAGTGCCGTTGAACAGAAAAGGCGAGAGCAAATCGAGCAAATCGAGACTGGGCCCACATCGTAAAAGTGAGAGTAGTTCCAAATCATTGCCTTCTTGGAGTAGTGAGGAGATTGAGAAACCATCTATGCCACCACAGTATAATGTGCCACCTCAGCAGCATAGTGAGAAGAGCATGGAAATGCCAATGTCGCCCGCGTATAGCAAAGGAACATCGAGGGTAGATCAGTCAATTGATATGGAAGAAACTGCAGGTTCGGTGAGTTTGACGGATGAGAAAAGTAGCCCGGAAAATGTGGTGTTGAAGAGTGTGGACGAGGGTTCTGTGAAGAAGAAAGGGGTGACTTTTGAGGTGGAGGAGTCTTCGAAGCAGGACGGCGAATCTTCCATGATGAGTAGCTTGTCTCTGCTGTCAACGCATGGCAATCGGGATTTGCGTGAGGTTGTCGCCGAAATTAGAGACGAATTCGAGACTGCTTCTAGCTATGGGAAAGAAGTTGCTATGATGCTTGAGGTTGGAAAGATGCCTTATCAGCCTAGCCTCGTTAAAGGTGAGGCTTTCGTGTTCTTTTCTTCGAATTCTTGATTAGCTTTAATGACTGTGAATTAATCGTCTTTTCGTTTTCCGAATGTTTGTTTGATTCAATCTGGTGGTTGTCTTGCTTGATTTTTTATGAAGTATTTGAATTATTAACCTTTTGATCTTACTAGTGGTAATTTTGCAAATTGCACCTCACGGGTTTTTGTTTATTCGCATGTTGCCCGAGTCTCTTTGCTATTAGATCGAAACGTAAGGGTAGTTTTTGTAATTATTAATTGATCCTGGCAGTGACTCACTTCTTGAGAACTAACTCTGTGTTATTACAGTAATTCTGTCCAGGATGTTCTACCTTGTATCTCCTTCACTGTTATTATGGGACCCGCCACCAATGCAATCTGCGAATTCATCTTCCGACACAACAAAGTCAGCAAAATCTTACTTTGAAGATGTTGGCAAGGATGTTGACTCAAAGGCTTGTAACCTTTCATCCATTTTGGACAAGCTGTACGCTTGGGAGACAAAGTTGTACAAGGAAGTAAAGGTAAAATAATGTCTTAGCTTTCGATTTTTCCATAGCTAGTGGTAATATATACGATGAATTTTGCCATCACTTCGTCGAATTTTTGTTGGCAAAAAAAAAAAAAAAAAAAACCTGTCTTTGCAATTCAATCTTGCTCAGTTTTGGTAGGTGGTTAACTTTGATTAGGATGAAGAAAGACTTCGGATAATGTACGAGAAGCAGTGCAAGAGGCTAAAGTACTTAGACGAGGAAGGAGCTGAGTCAGCAAAGATTGATGCAACTCGAGCTTCGATTAGAAGATTACTAACAAAGCTCGATGTTAGTATTAGGGCAATTGATGCCATTTCGATGAGGATACATAAGTTGAGGGATGAAGAATTGCAACCCCAAGTTGCTTCGTTGATTCACGGGTATGGATTCTTTCAGTTGACTGCTCTTCTTTTATAATCGTATCTGATCGCATGAATGTTATTACAATTTTTTTTTGCGATTCATTTGACTGTCGAGTTACTCGGTCAGTATTTATCATGGGGAAATAGATCTCAAGAAAACTTTTGGATCGGAACCCGCGGAATTCGAAAAATTCCAATTTTTAGTCACCTAACATGAAAAATGCATAATAATAATGATATCATAAGTGTAATTTTCGGAAATTAAAAATCGAATAGGAAACCGGAATCTCATGTATTTTCCAATTCCGGTAAAAAAAATATATCAGAAGAAATCGGAATTTTCGGAATTCAAAATGAAAAATATGTTCCAGAATCAGAAAATTTTGTATCGGAATCTGTGGAAATCGGAATTTCCATTACAATTTCACCCCTACATCTGACTTTATTTATATCCCAATCTTCGACATTTCTCTACTACCGCTGCATTTATAAGCATTTATTAATGATTATCAATATGACTGAACAAATAATTCCATAACTTCTCTGTGTCCTTCCTTTTGATAACCATATATATTATGTTGAGTGACTAAAATGTCGAAATATATATATATAGGTTGACTCGAATGTGGAAGTCAATGCTCAAGTGCCACCAGAAGCAGTTCCAAGCAGTAATGGACAGCAAAATGCGCAAGCTCAAAGCAAACACGCGGGACCCACAAACAGACCCAACAACACGGGCCACCACCGAGCTCGAACGGGAGCTCCTCGCATGGTCCCTCCGCTTCAAAGAATGGATCAGATCCCAAAAATCCTACGTGGACTCGTTGAACAACTGGCTCCTCCACTGCCTCCACTACGAGCCCGAACAAACCTCCGATGGGCCCGCCCCGTACTCACCGGGCCGGATCGGCGCCCCGCCCATTTTCGTAATCTGCCACGACTGGCACGAGGCAATGGACGCAGTCTCTGAAGCAAAAGTCGAAAACGCAATGAACAGTTTCGCAACGAGGTTGAGGCAGCTATGGGAGAAGCAAGACGAAGAGGGGCGGCAGAGGGTAAAAGCGGAATTTCTCTCAAAGGACTATAAAAAACATCTTAATGCACATCAAATGGAAAAAGAAGATACATTGTCCGTGGTTCAATCTGAAAATGGAGTGTCGCCGTTGGACGATCTTAAAGTTGACTTGGATTCGATGAGAGAGAAACTGGCTGAGGAGAGAGTGAAGCACAAAGATGCTATGAAATTAGTGCACGATGCAGCTTCGAGTAGCTTACAAGGCGGTTTGGTTCCGATTTTCAAGGCGTTGGAGAGTTTTACTTCGGAAGCTTTAAAAGCACACGAACATGTTCGATTACAGCATCCTCGCCCGAGCTAACGATCGAAATGCTTTTCTTATTTTCAACTGATATTAAATTAAACATTTAGGAAATGTAAATTATGCAGGTGTTTACATTAGAGAGAAGATACGAGGAAAATTCCGGTGTCCGTATAACGAACGAGCTTCTTCAACACCGGAAAAAAAAGGATGGCAGAAGGCAAGTTGTGTACAGAAGATATTCATTTATTTGTTGATTTTTGTTTTCCTTTTTTTTAGTTGGGCTGAAACATTATTGCAGTAGAGTAATCTTTTTTTCAACATGATGTTTATTTTAGGGGTATTTAGGGAATTTTATTATTTGTTTAGTTTAGGTGCGTAGGAATTATAATTCGTTGTTTATGAGAATTTTGGAATGGCCAAATAATTTTGTGACAGGAAAATTAATATGTGGAAAAAATATTTTGTGACGTGGAAAAGAGAGGCATCATTTGTGATACCAGTTAACTGTTGGTTCTCATACGTGCTCAGTTTGTGACGTCATTGGCTTCTCTCTTGTTTTTTGTGGTAGTACTTAATAATTATATTTCTTAATTAGGTTAATAAAAAGAAAATTATTATTTTTTGATTGGTTATTTATTATTTAGCTATTCCAAAATACAAAATATTAATTAGTATATTGATATATAAATTTATAATATAATATAATAATTAAGTGGGTTCAATTGTTCGAGTAAACTCCCTCACACTAGGTCGATCATTCAATACAAACTAACATATCTCTCTACTACTATGTACTCAACACGAGTACTTATAACCGACTTTAAAAGAGATATAAAATTAACTAAAATTTATTTTCTTCTTCTCTCTTAGTGATCTCATTTTTCTCTTCTAAAAACCGTAGTGAAAATTGGCAATGTAGACTTGTATTTATAGACTTCAGCACGCGTCCACTATCTGGACATGTTAAGGCTAGCAATCAATTACTAAGATAATTGGTTAACCTACGATCTAAATTACATTTTAGGAAAGTTAAATCACATGGACTAATACGTCTATTACATTCATAAACTATCAACATCAAACGAATACAGGATTATCGTTCGCTATTTTTTCACAAATAAAATTGTAATTAAAAATTAAAAATTTGTAAAAAAAAATGCAAGTTACTTTGGATTTTATTTAAAATATTCACTAGATAGACAAACCAAAAATTTGTCATTCTATAATTTTGGAGGCTCCAATTAAATTAAATTAAATTCAAATATTAATTTAGATTCAATAAAAACATGCTCGTGGGGGTACATTTGTAACTTCATGAAATGGAGAGTGTCAGTAGCACAATCCCGTGAACCAACCCGACACTACCTTATAAAAAAACCCGGGTCACGTTTTCTCACATAGTTTGAGAGTGCAAACAGAGATCTTTTAGGAGCTCAGATTTGGAAATAACCATGGCGTTATCCAGCAAGGGATGCTTATCGTTACTGTTGGTGGTGTTTATCGCAGCCGGATCGATCTCCGATTGCATCTCCGCCGCCGCGGCGGAGGAATCGGAAACCAAAGAGTTTGTAGTGACATTAGACAACTCCAATTTCACTGAGTTCGTCGGGAAACACAAATTCGTCGTCGTCGAATTTTACGCGCCTTGGTATTTCTCTTGCTTCTCAATTTTTTTTTTGTTACGTGTTTGTTTTGTTCTTTTGTGTACCTTCGGATGGCTTAATTAGATCAACTGTGCTTAGAGTGTGTGGATTTGCTTTATATTTTGTGTTTTTGGTCTGCTAATTTTCGTAGATTTGGTATTTGTTTGTTTCTGTACTTTAGATGCTGTGATTTTTTTTTTTTGTATTAAATAGATCATATTGAGGTACTGAATTGATATACTTGTCCAATGAAATGAAATTTTGACGATGGAGTTATGTCATATGTGGCTTTCTTCCCGCAGAACATTTTTAAATGTGTCGAAGATCTTCAAAGATGAAGAAACTACATATTTTTCGAAGAAAATGAAAAAAAAAACATTTTTGTTAAGTTTGTGTTGAAATAATTAGTGATGTTAATTGGTAATTCGGACATGTTATAGCTAACTAGTAGAAGTGTATTTTGCTTGTCGCATTGTTAATTCTATTATTACGAATTAATGACTGTCCTATGTATAGTAAATAGAACAGTTGAGGTTAATTGAAGTTTCCATCTGATATGTTGATTTGGTGTAATAGGTGTGGTCACTGCAAGAAACTTGCCCCAGAGGTATTAATCTCTTGCTAATCCAGATAATCTAAACGAGTTTCGATTTTTTAACTACTAAATAGTTTACGATAATTGATCTGTTCAAATGTGTCTCTTTTCATTGCAGTATGAGAAAGCTGCTTCTATTCTAAGTACGATTGATCCTTCAGTTGTCTTAGCCAAAATTGATGCAAACGAAGAGCAAAATAAAGTCATCAGTAGTGAGTTCGAGGTTAAAGGTTTCCCCACAATTAAAATACTGAGATATGGAGGTAGCGTTGTTCAGGAATACAAAGGACCACGAGAGGCAGATGGCATTGTGACCTATTTAAAAAAGCAAAGCGGCCCTGCATCTAATGAAATTAAATCTGGTGAAGATGCTAGTTCTATAATTGACGATGACAAGATTCTTGTTGTAAGTCCAATTTCTTCACTTCTCTAAATGTGAATGTTTCAATTTCGTATAATTGGCTATTTACTATTATGAACGAACGTGGTTCTATAAAAAAAAATAGGTTGGTGTATTCCCGGAGTTTTCTGGAGAGAAGTTTGAGAATTTCACAACCCTGTCTGAGAGATTGCGCGCCGACTATGAGTTTGGTCATACTTTGGATGCCAAACATCTTCCTCGTGGGGACTCATCAGCTGCTGGACCTTTTGTTCGTTTGTTTAAGCCTTTTGATGAACTCGTTCTAGATTTCCAGGTTATCAGTTACGACATTTTTTCCTAGGCCAGATATAATTCTGACGTATGTTGTGATATTTTTTTTAACTCAAATTGAATGTGTTTTGCAGGATTTTGATGTCGATGCTTTAGTGAAATTTGTTGAAGAAAATAGCATCCCTACCGTAACCCTCTTTAACAAGGATCCAAAGCACCATCCTTTTGTTATTAAATTCTTCAACAGCCCCAACGCCAAGGTCCGCCTTTTGCATTACTCGATCCTTTCTGCATAGTAATTACGCCATAAATAGAAACATAAAAAATCATATGGTCTCACAGTTTTATTAAGTGGTACGAAAGCAAACATGTTCACAAGCAATGTGAAGCAAATTTTGGGTAATTGCTCATATGAAACTTGTCGGTTTACAGGCAATGTTGTTCTTAAACTTCAGCATTGAGCAGTTTGATTCGTTTAAATCGAAATATCACGAGGTGGCTCAGCTTTACAAGGGCCAAGACTTGAGTTTTCTAATGGGTGATATTGAGGCTAGCCAAGGTGCCTTTCAGGTTGGTATATATCAGCAATTTTTTTCTTCTTCATTCTTTTACCGACATGACATTACTAACCCTTTTGCCCACTCGAACAGTATTTTGGGCTCAAGGATGAACAAGTTCCTCTAATCATCATCCAGACTAATGATGGAGGGAAATATCTCAAACCAAATGTCGATCCTGATCAGATATCATCATGGGTGAAGGACTTTAAAGTAATGCCTCATCCTTCACTATTTTGCCGTCTTTTTCCAATGTTTCCTTTGATTTGTTTAAATTGGTAAAGATACATATAGTATTATTTTCTAAATTAAACTAATTGTAATTGTTTGATGCCTTTGTAAAGGATGGTGCAGTTCAACCATATAAGAAGTCCGAGCCCATTCCCGAAGCTAACAGTGAACCTGTTAAGGTGGTGGTGGCTGACAACCTCCAGGACATGGTTTTTAACTCTGGCAAAAATGGTGTGTCTCGATTTTTTTTATTTTTATTTTTAACTCTTCTCACAAATTATGATTTTTTTCCACAATCTATTCACAGAATATACAACGCTTAAGTTTTATTTCATCTCATTATTTTGGATTACACTTCTAACGCAAGCGCTATCTGTTATGCAGTTCTCTTGGAATTATACGCACCATGGTGCGGACACTGCAAAAAGCTGGCCCCAATCTTGGATGAAGTAGCTCTCTCATTTGGAAATGATGCCGATGTCCTAATCGCCAAAATTGTAAGACTCGCCTCAGTATTTTGTGTTCTAGTTAATTTTGAAATATTATATTAAGTCGGGTTTTCCCTTTTTCTTGATTTTGAATATTTTTTTCCGTTTTCACTAATTCTTATTTTTCTGGTTATTTGTAGGATGCTACTGCAAATGATATACCACAGGATACATTTGATGTGAAAGGTTATCCGACGCTATATTTCAGGTCATCAACTGGAAACCTGTTGCAGTACGACGGAGACAGGACTAAGCAAGACATGATCGATTTCATTCAGAAAAATCGAGCTACAGTTGCTAAACAAGAGTCCGCAAATGATGAACTCTAAGCAAGGCCAATTATACGTAAGTTTGTGAATATGAAGCTCAACGAAAGCAAATGGCTGCTGGTATTAATTTTTTGGAGCTCCCTTTTGTGTTTTTTGCAGGTTCCACTCTTGAAAAATCAAATGGCTTAAGTTCGTGGATTATTGGATGTTTTGTTGGCTTAGCTTGAAACCACGGAAATCGAAACGATACCTCTTCAGATGTTTTAAGATTATTGCGTAGCTACTGTAGTCTATAGTGACAGTTTTGTGGCTGTAGTGGAACTTCGTAATTTAATTATGAGTTTACGTAGCTTTCCTTTCATCGTGCCGATTCTCAAAATTGTGTCTGAATATCATTCTAGCATTTGCAGAATACTCGGGCGTGCGCACGCGCGCATGTGTGTGAAGATTACACAACGTTAAAAATCTTTGGATCTGTCCGAATCAGCAGCATATTCAATTTTTTTGTAGACGTGAATTTAATACCAATTTCATTCCCGTAAAAAAATGGAATGAATTAATTTGATTCAAAATCTAAAATTTCAAATTTGTAATTTGATTTTTTGGAAATTAAAATTAAAATTAAAAAATAAAAAGTTTACAGTACCATTTCAATTTTCAAAAAATGTACCTCCAGTACCGCTTCAGGCAAAAAGGAAAGGGTAATGACTAACTACTAGTCTACCACCATCACAGATCGCACGCCTCCACTTAAACTCTCTACAGTTCCCTCCAATTTCACCTATAGTCGCTACTCTAAAATAAAAGAAGAAGAAGTCGTTACATCCATTTGAGTATATGGGTCTGAAGCCATTGAAAGTACACTTTATTAAATTTTGAGGATGGTCGGCTTTCGCCGTTCGCGCCTACCCCGCCGCGGTCGCCGTCGGTGGAATCGTTGGAGTTGGTTGATGTGGGGATAGAGGGTAGTGATGATGGGAGTTGCTCGAATGAGTTGGGGTTGCCAAAAGTGACGTCGGATGAGGGCATTGGGCCGAGTGAGAGACTTGATCGAGAGATCTTGAAGGAGTTAGATTTTGACACTTTGTTTGCTACGGATAAAATGGCGGATATTCGTGATTGCCTTGGGGTCGTTAGAGACGTGGAAATTAGAATGCCGGCCAAGGGCGATAGGTGTTATGCTCTCGATTGTTATCTCGGTGTGGAAGATCATCACGGCGCTTATTTCGAGACTTATCAATGTATTCGCCTAAGTGACCTTGCTTGATCAGCCTCTCAATCGCCACTTTGAGTTGTGCACATTCCTCCGTAGTATGTCCTCTATCCTTATGGAATCGACAGTAGCGATCCGACTTTTCTCGCTTTGCATTTGGCTGCATAGGACGTGGAGGCTCTGCTAAACCTTTTTGTTCTATCACGTGAAGGATTTTAGTGAGGCGAGTGTTTAGCGGAGTGAACCTATTGTAGGAGGAAGATGGTTGACCTTGAGGTGGAAGTGGTGGACGTCGATCATCCCGCCTCCTATTGTCTTGACGGTCATCTTCCCTTTTCCTTTTAGGAGGAGCATGGGTAGAGACTTCCTCTATCCGGACGTATTTTTCGGCTCGATTCAGCAACTTCTCTAGGTTGCCTGGGGGCCTTCCGGCGATAGATTCTTTGAATCTACCCGGCTTCAAGTTCTGTTGCATAATCCCGGAGAGCATGTCTTGCCCTACGCTGGGAACTTCATGGACGACTTCTACAAAACGCTTGATGTAGTTGCGGAGCGTTTCGTTATCTCTCTGTACTACAGAGAAAAGGTGGGCTGGGGTCTTGGCATACTGCTTGTTGATGGCGAATTGGTTGGTGAACCGTGTTGACAGCCGAGCGAATGTGTCAATCGATCCTATGGGTAGAGAGTTGAACCAATTCATTGCTCTCTTGGAGAGAGTGGTGCGGAACATTTTGCACATCGCAACATCCGTTGGGCCATTTAAGTTCGCCATGGCGTTGAATTTCTCTATATGCTCCTGTGGGTCGGTGGTCCCTTCAAATTGAGGTAACCCCGAGATCTTCACTCCCTAAGGTAATACCTCGTTGAGGATATCTATGGTGAAAGGACTGCGTCTTATTCGGACGGGCATTCTTTCGCCAATTGGATTGTTCAGTAGATGGCGGGACATTCTGCTGTTTACCTCGCCTTCTCCTTCATTAAAGAGAGGGACTTTCTGTGGAGACGCATTCCCCCGTGGGGGTGAGCGTTGACGTTGCTGTCTGGGCTGTGCCCCCCTGTGATTTGTGGATAGCTGCACTCGGGACCGTGGGTCCGAGGTAGAGGAGGAGACACTTATTTGATTCTGGATTGGCGGTGGGGCCACATGTGGCACTATAGGTGGAGCTGGCGCTGGTATCGCATTGGGAGCGTTTGCTCCCATCGTGGCGATATATTGAGTTACGACCTCCGTGGCGGCGCGAGTTGAGGCTTCTGCTATCATGCGTTGGAGCGCGTCCTCGGTTATTTGAACCGTTCGAGGAGCAGGGAGTGGTGGGTCCCGATGAGGGATCACCTGAACCTCGCGAGGTGGATCCGCAGCACGTGGAAGAGGTGGCTCCGCGGCACGTGGATGAGGTGGCTCCGCGGCACGTGGATGAGGTGGCATGCCAGATCCTCCACGGACTGGGAGGTTATTAGTTGTGTCATTTTCTCTCCGAGCAGACGCCTTAGGAGGATCTTGTTGGCTACGTGATCTGGTTTGCATCGTTCCCACAGACGGCGCTAAAATGATGATGCTAAAATGTAGATCACCTAGGGTGGTGTAGAAAATGAGCTGGGAGAGCAAAGCGGATCAGTAGCTTGATAACCTGATGATCCTGAGGTCCCTGCGAAATGAACACACGTGAACTACGCCGGGGGTTGATCCGGCGGAAACCCTTCTACTCTTACCGGCAGCTATACGAATCGTGGAGATGGTAGAGAGAATTGAACTCTAGATTGTTGGTGAATAATCAAAACGTACCTTTACAAATGAGTAAAACATCTATTTATATGTCGTTGATTGGGTTGGGCTTACTTTGTTGGGCCAAGCCTTACTTTGAATGTACTTGGGCTTTCGTGTAATGGGCCCAATTGTAAGTGATTGGGCTTTCGTGTATCGGCCTATTTATTAGATAATTTAGGGCCCATTGGGTCGGCCCAATTATGTATATCATATTTATATATATATATATATATATATA